CACATTTTTCCTTGAAAATGGAAATCATTTTTGTGGGTGGTTCCATGGCTGTTGGCGAGCAGTGTATATCACTGGAGACGACTCCACTTAGTCATAGGTGTATTTTCAGTATATCTATACCGCTCTTACTAATTTCAGAATCCTAACTCAACAATTACGAAAAATACAGGGATGCTGAGACACACTGTATAATGTTCATCTTGAGTCAGTTCATATCAAAATGAGCATGAGATTTCAAAAGTCGGTTGACGAGGAAACATGTTATGACTGCAAAACCAAAAGGTAAATTTTTTGAGATCACCCTGTAAATAAAAGAGATGAGGAGACAATTCGAGAACTGTCCCAAGATGATGGCTCCGTGGCCGAGTTTGTCTATGCGCTGAAATTCGCTAGATAGCCGTTCACGATGCAGAGGTACTGTCGGTTCGGATCCGGCTATCGGCTGAACATTTTTCTTTAAAATGTGTGATTCATGGTTGTAATCCTGGCAGCACCTCGATGCCCTAGAAGTGGTTCGGATTCCACTATAAGCTGTAGGTCCCGCTCTTCCTAACCCCGCACAAGTTTCGACTTCTGGGGAGTTGGTTCCCAACTTTGAAGTAGCTATATACAAAATCTACATGCCTCTACTGTCAAAGTTGAAAAAAAAAGTTTTTCTTCATTTGGGATACTTTTGAAATTTTCGAAATTTGGAACCGTTTCAGGTAAAACAGCATGTAGCGATTTTATGTGAAGAAATTTATGTTTTGAAAAAATACGAGATTACAGCTGAAGGACTGGGCTAGCGAACAGTGTGATACAAATTTAAATGGTTCAAAGCAGAAAAAAGTTATTAATATTTCAACAGAGGCAACATTTTGGGGTGCGACGGAATTAGTGTTGCGTAATTTAGTTGAATGAATCAGTTCATGAATAACCAGGAATAACAGAGTGTCGTTGTTCACTTCTATACCTACGAATAAAATAAAAGTATTTCATTTTATCACCCCAATGTCTGTAACACCCAGTATAGCGGAATATGCATTAATAGATGCACTTATTATATGAAAAACTATCTGTTTTATGTTCACGGATTAATCCCCGATTTTTTTTATTGAAAGTCAAACACGAAATTTCAAGTATATGTATATCGAAATAACGGATCTATATTGAAATTTTTACTAAGTTCATCATCGTATTGTATGTAAAACTGGTTATCCTGTATGTGAATCAACATGTTTTCAAGAAAATTCCACTAGATTACTTAATTTCATTACACGAGTTGCCGCAAATAATGGTTTTAGCATCGTAAAATAAATTTTATCTAGAAAATTCATGGAATAGTAATCCAGCAAATATATATATATATTTTGCATTTAAGTAATTAGCCGTTTTCCTAATGTCATCATCATCCATTATTAACTGACAACAATACAATTGAACAATGCAAATACAAAAATGCTCCACAAGCAGGTTGCAAAGTTCGACCTTCATTTGATAACGAAATTACATAAATTTGTTGTATTTCATCGAACAGCACCTGTGCCAATCACTATGCTGAGGAAAATTATTGAAAAATGATACTTTCCTGTGCGCTAATTAACGCAAAATTTCACGATCTGATAACAAGATAATAATTATGCCATCCAATACCAACTGAATGGTAGAAGTGCGATAAAAAGTGATCTAAAAAGCAGAGCATTCATATTTCCAAAAATATTCCGTCTTCGTTCAAAGATAATATCCGATGAACCATACATCCAAATGATGGTTCATTGGATTTTATCTTTTAACATGACCGGAATATTCCCGAAAAATTTTGATTTTCTGCTCGTAACTTAGATTAGTTTGGATCTCGGCAAGTCGGTTTTGATTCAATAAAATCTGCTCACATCAATTGGAATATGTGCAACAGTAGGTATAAACAAAGCCGTTTATAGACGTTAAATTAAATCAATCAATATCCAGAACCATCATTGAGTCACTTGAGTGAAAATGTCTTCAAGTGAAGATGATCTACCATCCGATATTGAAAATACGGCGGCAAGTGTTGTTTGAATTTTATTTGTATTCTTCATTTTACTTGAATTTTTTGGGATTTTCTCTCCTCGTTTCTATGAAATAGAAATATTCTTATTATTTCAATATATTTGAAGTCGGACAAATCAGATGATTTGCCACAAAATGTCACTGCGTTTGACAAATTTTTCTATCAGGGAGCCTGGAAGAAAAATCCAGTAGCTTGTCAGTGACGCTTTGATTATAATATTATTCCACTCTCACTAATATGTACAGGGTGGCCAACTAAGAATCCAGAGTTCCATACCTCTGTTGTCTTGAGAGATACAAAAAAAAAATTGCATTCAAATTAAAGTGATAACCGAGCTACACATTTCAAAATTTCTTTGAAATACATAGGGTGTTCCGTAAGGTCACAGCAAATCAAAGCTATGTTTTTTTCAAAGGAACGCCCTATATTTTATTTCATTCTTGAATTCTCCCTGACGATCTGATTTCAACGACGTATCATACTTAGGGTCTAGCAGTGGAAGTTACTGACATATAGGATGTGCAAAATCGAGATTTTCCAAGTTCAGGATTTTTTTCTTTCGAAACTGTTCATTATTCGTCAAAACGGTTTACATGTCCCTATCTCAACTTTCCACTCACTATCAATTGGTGTTCAATTGACATTTAATTGAGACAAATTATAAATTTAGAATTTTTGACCACCTTGTATCAATTTCAATTGAACACCAATTGATAGTGAGTGAAAAGTTGAGATAGGGACATGTAAACCGTTTTGACGAATAATGAACAGTTTCGACAGAAAAAAATTCTGAACTTGGAAAATCTCGATTTTGCACACCCTATATGTCAGTAACTTTCACTGCTAGACCCTAAGTATGATGGGTCGTTGAGATCAGATCTTCAGGGAGAATTCAAAAATGAAATAAAATATAGGGTGTTCTAATGAAAAAAACATAGTTTTGATGTGTTGCGACCTTACGGAACACCCTGTGTATTTCAAAGAAATTTTGAAATGTGAAGCTCGGTTATTACTTCAATTTTGATCCATGAATTTTTTTTGTATCTCTCAAGAAAACAGAGAAATCGACCTCTGGAGTCTTAGTTGGCCACCCTGTACAGTGTGACCCACTTCTAATGGAACCACCCCTGTATCTTACGTAATCGTTGGGTAGGGATCCTGAAATTTGCTGGAGCGAGAGATATACCAAAAATGCACTCTATGACCAAGTCGGGTCATTTTCAGTGATATACACTGCTCGCCAACAGCCATGGAACCACCCCAATTTCCGGAAAATAATATTAGGAGTTAAAATAGGTCGAAAATCACTTCAGATTTGGAATCAGGACGCCCCATTTACTGACTATTCAAATTTTTCCTGGAAAATTTTCAGTTCGGAAAAATGAAATTTTGTCGCATTTTTTATGGAAGCACCCCCGTATCTTACGTAATTATTGAGGTAGGGTTCTGAAATTTGCCGAAGGAAGAGAAAGTCCAAAGATAAAGTCAATTACGTGAGATACGGGGGTGCTTCCATGAAAAATGCGTCAAAATTTCATTTTTCCGAACTGAAAATTCTCCAGGAAAAATTTGAATAGTTAGTAAATTGGGCGTCAATCACAATAGATCTTCTAGGTCGCAGTGATCGAGAGGTCTCCCAACCTATACGACCCATCTACAATCTACAAATTGGGCGTCCTGATTCCAAATCTGAAGTGATTTTCGACCTATTTTGACTCCTATAATATCATTTTCCGGAAATTGGGGTAGTTTCATGGCTGTTGGCGAGCAGTGTATATCACTGAAGATGACCCCACTTGGTCATAGCGTTCATTTTTGGTATATCTCTCGCTCCAGGATCCTTACCCAACGATTACGTAAGATACAGGGGTGGTTCCATTAGAAGTGGGTCACACTGTATATATATTTTTTTATTTCATAGAAATGAGGAGAGAAAAACCAAAAAAATCAAGTAAAATGAATATACGACCAATTCGATTAACCTACAGACAGTATTCTTTGTATTCATTCAATAAACGATTCATTTTGGTTGACATCTCATTACCGCACTAGTGCGGTAATTAACGTCATTATAACATTCAAAGAAGTGTCAAATCATAATCATTACTTGGCAGTTGTAGATAAAATACAATAATGCTTTTACATTCTTCCGGGACACATATACCATTTCGTTATCAGATGACGGAAGAAATTTGCGGCCAGCTTTCCAACTACAGCCTAAGACCAACAATGATATTTAAAACTTAAATCGGTAAAATCATAATTTCTTCATTTTGTAGAGAATCGGCCAGTTGAAACGAAACACTCTGAATAACTTTCCGGAGAATGTTTATCTTGAAACACGCTGAAATAGGTATTTTTTACGACGACGTATTAGCGCCACTATTATTATATTTCATCAAAATCTCAGAACTTTTTTTTCTCAGAATTTCGAAATTTGTTCTCAAATTTTTTTGATTTATTCCAATACTCTACCACTAAAGTATCAAAAATTGAATTTACCTTCACCAACATTTGAGTAATATATACCAATAACTTTTTTTAATCCAAAGGCACCCTCTGTGAATGTTCATACAAAATTAATAGCCGCTTCATCCTAAATACAGCGACAAATCATCAGTGTGTATCAATATGGCCGCGATAGGGCGCTGAAATTGACAGAATCCTCATTTATATTCATAAAAGCGATTCCTGCATCAAATAACCTATTTTATAATGTTCCATATAAAAGATACCTTCCCTATTCAAATTCTATTAGTCAGTGAGATGGAGGAGAGGGAAATGACATAAATAGTTGCAGCGTTTTTTCAAATTAACATTTACCCGGAATATTCAGTCTGTTTAGTTTTCGTTGGCACACTCTGTATAGTTCTAAGAACAAAATTATTATCATGAGTTATTCAATTGATAATTCAAAAATAGGATAAACTTGAGCGGAATTTAACTCGTTACTTTTACTCCAAATATATTAGTGGCAAAACCATATTGTTGCAAAATATTAAGCGAGGATATACGTTCCCAAATAACTATATCAGGGTTTTAATACATACCTATACCTTCTCAAAAATAGACGTTAGAACACTTACTAGTTTCTGATATTTCAGTTTTCACAGTTTTCACTGTTCCAATAGTGGGTACTAAGGTATGTATAGTGATACTTTTCTTTGTGATAGCTAAAACTGAATGTGTGTTTTCATCCAAATTGTTCGTATCTTTACCTAATAATATCAATCTTGTCCCCCTGAGAGATTATTTATTTGTTGCAATCAAATTTGTTTTGATAAATATCCTATATCTATGATTGGTTTCATCATATATTATGACCATATTTCGAAATCCTTCACTCATGGAATTTCTTGTAATCAAACATTTACGTAGAAACTCTAGTAGAAGTCCATGTCAGCCTTATTAGTGAGGGATCCTGTATAATACTTTTTCGAATGTTGACATGTGAATTGACACCATTCAAAACTGACGGAAGTTCTGAAACGTCTTACTTTACATTACCAGTTCCGTAAAAAGAAGATATTACATAACTGATAATGTTCATTTCAACACCACTTACGAAATAAAAATGTGGATGGACGAAGAGGGTAGTGCATTTTGTGTAACACTGTCATCCCACCGTCACACAAAATGACGCGTTTTCTAACTGGTGACGTCAAGGTATACTGTGAATATACAATTCTTTGATGATTGATCTTGATTTTTCAGCTCAATTTGAGTGAAAATTGATCTCATTTTATGTTCAGTCTTGAATAATTTCCTCTTGAAACTTAACACCTATACGTGTTAAATCTGATACATAGGTTAGCTATAATCACGCCAAAAGACGTATAATTTCGATTCAAATGCATGTTATATCTTGTACAAATAGCATTTCGTTCTGCCTGCTTCATTCTGTCCGAAGCCCCACTAGCAAAAAATCATTCCCCAGACAACACATCTGTGACATGACATCTCTGAGATGTCGCGTTTAGGTAACAGTACGATATCATAAACGTTCCATCGCTGCGATGTACAGAAGCAAAGCCATCTGCGACGTGACATCTCTGAGATGTCGCGATGAGGCAACACTGCGATGTTATGTATGTTACATCTCAGCGATGTACAGAAATACACACATGTCGCGATGAGGCAACACTGCGATATTATGTATGTTACATCGCAGCGATGTACAGAAATGAACACATCTGCGACATGACATCTCTGAGATGTTGCGATGAGGCAACACTGCGATATCACGATGTTTCATTGCGTCAAAAGTCATTTGATCTAAAAAATCAGTCTGGTAAAGGGCAAATGGCCATTTTGAGATGAAAGCTGACCGTTTATTGGTTCTTTTGGCTGTTCAGTCGGTTCGAAAATTCAAGTCTTCCTTTACCGAACTGATTGTTCGTATCAAATGAGTCCACGGCTCATTTTTTTTTATAATGTGATTTCCACATGGCCTTATAGGAACTGTTTACTAATGTGTCTGAAGATTGCTGTGTGAGCCGAAACTAGTCACAATACATTTTGTGTTATATAATTTTTGTGGTCGACCGATATTTTTACCCGATCAGCTGCTCGTTGCCTCTCTCGTTTGTCGAATTCATTGATTGGTTCTCTACATCTCTCTTTAAGTTATTCAATAGATCAACGGAAAGTTTTTGAGTAGATAAATTCATACTGAAAATTGAAATCGAATGAAAATATCATGCAACATCACATTTACAATGCAATTAGCTTAATGACGGAATTTGTTCGTCTCTTTCTCTAGGCACTATCTAGTAGTTTCTTATTATTAGATCATTGGTTTAGTTGTTCAATAATTTCAACATGACGTTTCATTTAAGGATTTCAGGACTTTCAAAAACATCTGAATGACAATAAAATTTTGATCACACTGTATAACTTCTATGAGCTTAATGAACGTATTCTCTCTGCGAAGACTATCATTATTATACTAGCTTCTAGCCCTGGAGGTCAGTGCTGAAACTTTCGGAGAGTTATGAAGATAACTCTTGAAAATTGCAAAATTTGCGCACTCTGTACTTACTGATATCCAACTTCACTCGTATCCATTTATTAAATACTATTTGAGAATAAAACTACCATAAATATCTGTTAAAATGGACTGAATGATGGCAAAAAGCTGAACTTAGTTGAAAAAATTATATGCTCTGGTACTGAACAAAAAATAAATAAATACATAAATTAATACCCTATTTCTCATTCATTGAATCACAGTTTGTTAATTTTCGGTAGATTCTGAGGATGACAGCGAAGATTCAGCAGAGGCTTGTCGGAACCTAGATGCCAAGCTACTTGCTATCCGGCTGAATTGGTATCTGTAAAAAAATATCATCACATTCATAACGTAATTTATGAGTGGCTCTTTCTGGTCAAACCTGTGGGTCAAACCAGGAGTTTAATATTTATAACTGTCGAGTTCACATTGCTTACCAGATTTTCGAGACAGTTTGAATGTGACAGCTGTTCTGGATTCGTAAATTTGACTGTACGACTATATGTACAGTGTGTCCCACTTACCATGCTCACCATGGGTATCTTTTTAACGGTGAGAAATACGAAGTCGGTTAAATGACACCAAATGTGGAATTCGTCAAGGCCAACTATAATGTGAAAAAATATTTTGATGAAATCTATTTGTTTTTGATTTATACGCAAAAAACAGATTTCGATCATTTCCATGTCTCCTCCGTAACGTTTTCATTTATGGAAATATCCAAATAGGAATTTCACATCCTCATGGCAGTTTTTCAAAGTGATTTCGAAAAAAATATGAAATTCATACCAACTCTTCTAGAATTTGAGATATCAGCACCAACTTCAGTTTTTCAAATGTAGGTCATAGCTCACTATGACTTAGTTACAAATAACTTTTTTTTCTCTTACAGATGATATTTCGCAGTAATAGTTTTGTGTTGATAACAACGGAGTTATCGTCATTTATACAAAAACAAAAAATTATTTGGAAGCCGCCATCTTGAATTTATGAATTTTAACAAAAAAATCATGATCTCCGACCTCAAAAATCCCCACTTACCAATTTTGAATGGAATCGGACCAAATCTTGTCCGGCATCTTGGAGCAGCCATTTTTTTTTAAATTAACAAAAATTCCATAATGTATTGTCACCGAAATTATGAACACCAGCCAAATTTCAAGTTAATCGGAGTTTTTGTTGAAATTAAAAAAGATTTGGTCCGATTCCATTCAAAATTGGCAAGTGGGGGTTTTTGAGGTCGGAGATCATGATTTTTTTGTTAAAATTTATAAATTCAAGATAGCGGCTTCCAAATAATTTTTTGTTTTTGTATAATGAACAAAACTATTACTGCGACATATCATTTGTAAGAGAAAAAAAAGTTATTTGTAACTATGTCATAGTGCGTTATGACCTACATGCACACATACAGAAGAGTTGGTATAAATTTCATATTTTTTTCGAAATCACTTTGGAAAACTGCCATGAGGTTGTGAAATTCCTATTTGAATATTTTCATAAATAAAGAAGTTACGGAGGAGACATAAAAATGATCAAAATCTGTTTTTTGCGTATAAAACAAAAAAGAATAGATTTTATCAAAATATTTTTTCGAATTATAGTTGGCCTTGACAAACTCCACATTTGGTGTCATTTAACCGACTTCGTATCTCTCACCGTTAAAAAGATACCCATGGTGAGCATGGTAAGTGGGACACACTGTATAGTATATTGTTCAGCGAGCAAGGATTGATAATCATATCCCACGAAAGAGAAGTTTGCAGCATGAGCCGTAGGCAACAGCGATATTTTTTCGGCTTGTAGCCATATGATTTTCTCTTGAGTATATACTGCTCATTTATTAGACAGAGCTGTCATTACTTGAAATATGACATTTCTTGGCAGATGAGTTTTTGTGAAATGATAACACAATGAAGTCATTGTGAATATATGATACGGAAATAAAATTGATGACATACAAAGTACCTCATTGATTTATCGAACACAGCAAAACAAGAGCAATTTTGTGTTATAGTCGCAGAAAAAATAACATTCCGTTGTCTAGTCAAATTCAAAATGGTTTCGTTTTACTGAAGCACAGTACAAAACTACTGTTTGTGATATGAAGAAAAAGACAAGAGACCTACGTCATAAGTTTTCGGAAGTTATAGAAAAAATTATAATTAATCGTCTACTTAATGTTCTCGAGAATAATAATTTACTGTACAGTTTTCGATATGGAATTTGTACGTCGGAAAATACTGAGGTAGTTGTGATTGATGATATTAATCTCTTGGAGCGCACCAACTAAAATTCCAATGATGTTCGTAGAACATCGTGCGTACCTATAGGGAGGATAGGGAGAGGAGGAAACTGTTGGAATGTTTTTTCAACTTCTGGAGGTTAGAAGTTCTTGGGAATACTCCCATTGCCAAAGAATTCCAAAGCTTTGCCGTTCTATAGACGAACGAGTTTTGGTGAAGTATTGTTCGACAATATTTCAAGGTTGACAACGAAAGGATGTGGATAATGTAAAAAATAAAGAATGATTAAAAAATTATTCGATAAACCGAAAACAATATGATGACGTGGATAATACTCGTAGTTGCATGTGGTATACCGCAAGGGTCAGTTTTGGCACTAAATTTCGACAACAGATTATCATGAAGTGAACATAGGTGGAGATAATTATTCGAAAAATATCTCATTACTGATATTTCACTCAAAATTCGAAATTTCATACCTGTTCGGTACTTGAAGAATATTAATTTATCAAACAAAATCAAGATTTGTTGATTATTCATTTTGTCAGGAAGATATCCAAAATATCAAATTTGAATTTCAATGAAGTTGATACAATCTATACCCATGAAACAAGACAATCAAATTTCTGAATAACAAATAATTATAGGTAAAATTTTGCTAACTATCGATATTCCATATTGGAATAATTTTATATAACGCATAATGAGTTGAAAAATATAAATGAAGCAGGAAGATCGCAGATGAATTTATGAAAATATTTGCTTAATACACTGTAATTTCATAATATAAATATTATTCTTTAATGATTTGAATACTTGATTACTAGAATATCATTTTATTGTTTTTTATTTGCTGTATATCTAGTATGTCGTATCTGCCTATTA